ATAAAATCATTCGTCATCATTATTACAGTAATATAGACGCGTCGAATAAGCCTAATTTCATCGAAATCGGAGATGAAAGTCGCATTTTGAATAATTTACCTGTCTCTCTGAGTAACGAACACCACTAATGCTAATTCTATAATGAGTCGATAATCAAAAGTAATCGGTAACGTTTCGTACTGTTGACTATTGGTCAACTTCACTGATAAAATTATCGACTTAGGATTATCGACTTGTTATAGAATCAACATTAACGAATACAGAGCAACCGTGGCACTTTTACCCCAACAACCATGGCACTTTTTACCCCAACAAGTCACGTAAACTTTGCGGCATTGTTATTAAAAAACTATAATAGAAATAACAATTCTAATAATCACACTGTTAAAACAATAGAATAAGATTAATAAATACACTTATTTAATATATCTAGGTGCAAAAATGATCCCTTCAGACCAAAATAACTGCGGCGCTAATATCTTACTTTTGGCTCTCAAACACATGGGCACATCCGTGCAAGTTTCCTGACGGTTATTAGGCAGTAACGAACTGTGTGACATAAGATTCTTGCTCTTAGTTGACGAACTGTGTGGCGAAATTTTCTAGTGAATGCCTTATTACCGAGATACAAGGGGTGGACCTTTTTCCCCGGGGACCTTTACTCCCCGGTCTACCCTATGTAAAATTACTTTAAATTGAACAAATAATTACTCAAAAATCTAATTTCGCTTAAGAGTGTGGCATATTCACCCCACTTACCTTATAATAATAAATATGATTTATATGGGATAATGTCGCAATTTTGGATTCTGAATGCAACTATAAAAAAAAATGATTTAAATCTTCATACTTGTGATACCAAATTTTTAGACAAGACATATATGCCTTTCTTAAACAATATCTAATTTATATTTTTAACAATATTATGATTTGTGACATTATAGAGAATACTAATGTTGCTTTTCTATATTTTAATCTCATCCGTTTTTAAATTCTAACTTTGCCTTTAAAGATCAATCAATCGACTGGCACCATCCAGCAGTTTAACTGGCATGGGATTACATGGGAGAGTGGTGGATCTCCTCACGACTAATTTATACTAATTTATTTCATCGTTTTTTATTGTAATACGATACTGAAGATGGTAGCTAAAATATTAGCTGAAACGTCTATTATATATGTATATATATATATATATGTTTGTAAGATTGAATTTATGTAATAATAGCGCGCAATTACTACAGCGCCAATTCCCATTAGCTCTTTATTTTCATTTATTTATTTGCAAATTAATATGATTTAATTTCTACCCGAAACAAAAAAGATAGTTTTAGATATGTCTTATAAATCTGTTCTATTCGATTGCAAATGTTGTTTTATGTTAAAAAATATTTCTATTCAAATATAATTTGCATGAATTTTGATTGTATGTTTTCTCGCTTCCGCGACGTTCAATCTGTGATAGTAATGATGAGTGAACGGGAGCCTTAATTTTTCCTTCAAAAATCAAGATGTTTTATATTACTTATTGACTCATTTCGCATTTCCTTTTTCTTTTCTTCAGAAAATGCATCCCGAGCTTTTTCATTGCCCATTCTATCATTATCAAATTTGATGATAACAACCTATTTACCAAACTAATAGCGAATCTTGTTACACTGGTTTGTTCATTATGCAATCTCACGTTGGTTCCTGCAGACAAATATTGCAAAGTTGACGATACAATCTAGAATATTGAAATTGTTGCTATATAATCTTGCGCCTTGCGGATGAGGAAAGTGGGACGCGACATTATCGTTGATTGCCTATAGGTATGCGTCACATCCGGCCGAGTCCTATTTGCAATTTGTTTTGCGACAATGGCGGGCAATTTTATTAGTCCGCGTATGCCGGAACCGTTGTGACAAAAATTCATATTATCTGATTTTATCGAATCAATTTCTCAAACATCGCGTAATAAATAAAATTTAATTTTGCATAATTGTACAATACTCGCAGTGCAACAATGTTCGGAAAAAAGCAAGTCGAATAATATTATTACAGAATTAAAACGAAAAACTCTCTCTCTCTCTCTTCTCTTTTAGAGATGATGCATGACACAGTTTCAAAGAAAAATTATTAGCAGAATCGATACATTCGATTGATCGGATCAGTAGAGAATGATATATAATGTGTTACACGATTCATACATTTTATACGTTTCGATCGTACAATCCCGTTGAGTTTGCACATTTTTCTGTTCTGCAATTGTTACCACTCTAGAACGGCATTTAAACGACGACCGAATGCTCGAAGATGTATTTCGAGCTATTAAGCCCAGAGGCACCAGGGCTACTCCAACCATTGGGCGTGCAACAATGCTCCAAGTTGTAACAAAAGTTTCACGAATCCGAGGTATTCGACCCCGTTTGCCAGCGCGAAACGAGTGAATAACGGGCTTCTCTCCGCGCAATTCGATTTGACGAAACGGGCTAAAGTACACCGCCTTAATTCATTCTGCCTGCGCTACCTTTTCCAGGCCGCTTCTATCCATTTACGTTGCCGCGCGCGTGACTTTTCGCCTCCTCGAGAAAACGAGAATGCGAATGAACGGATCTCCGTACAATTCAGAATAGATCCCTTCTACGGGGTTTTTACCGGCCTCTCTTGTCGGGCTTTCCTTTATGTTACAAAAGACTCAATTATTTTCTAGAATATCCGCTGATGTTTTTTACAACGTGCGCGTATGTACAGCAAGAAAGAAGAATCAAGTGAAATAACTGTAATAGAAATTGCGAACAAGACATTTAAATAGCTAGAACATGATGACTCCATCATGTGGTCATAGTTGTCTACGAAATGTACAAGTTAGAACTGTTAAGAGAAACAAGACTTCGTTCGATTGAGTTTTCAGAGATCATATTAATTCTATACAAAACTCATCGTATTCCAAAAATTATATTAAGTCTAGAATTCAGTTAAATTCAAATATGTTGTACTTTTAACTATAATGTTGCAGGCAAATCTTTTCTCTTTGACAGATTTCTTTCTCCCAAAGCTTTGAAAAAGAAAAGATTTCTTTCCCTCGCGCGAGATTCTGTATATCGTGTCTTTCAGAAAAAATCTTTATTCATCTGCCATTTCAACTATTTACTTGATATATTTATGTCAGAATTAAAATGGGATATTTACATGATAATGTGAAACATTGCGCTCTCTCTTGTAAATACGAAGGATATAACGAATATTGCATGATATATCTATCTATTGCAGTTATGTAACTCTACACCACGGTTCACATTTTTCCATTTCCAATATCCATCGTAAATAATTGTATCATTGAAAAAGAACGAAATGTATGAACTTGAATGCTTTAAAAAATTGTACAGATATGAACTTACATGATAAAAAATAAATTTAACACTTTAGAGAGAGAGAGTTGGAATCAGGATCGTATTGCAATTTTTTAATTATATATCGCATTTTCCATGATCGTATTATTGAAAGATAGATAATAAATTCCAAATATACACATATTTGCTAAAAGTAAATAATATAGCAAGAACAATTTTGCGTGTAGTATAAGAAGAATTTTCTTGACAAGACGCATTTTCTGTTGTACCTGATCAGACTCTTGAGTTACATGGTGTTATGATTTAAAAAAAAATCAGGAGCTACCTGCGTAGGTATAAAGCAGAGAGCGTCGTGATATAATTAATTAACTAATTTCACGAAAGCCTCACCGTGCCGTGCCGATCCGTTGCTTGCAGGTATCTTCATCGTGTAATTTTCTTCCTCGTCCAGGAACACGTAACTGGCATTAAAGCCCGTGGCGTCGAGACGATCGTTACTCTTGAACGTAACGCGGAAGAACTTCCTCTCGCTGTAAACGTCGAATTCTTTCAGCTGACCACAGTGCCTCGGATACTTGCGATCTCTGGTCATATAGTTTGAGAATTCGACATAATCGCTCGCTGATATAGCTTCGCACCTGGAAAATTCCACTTTAATGATTTAACTTTTACTTTGTAAATGGAGTAAAGCTAATTATTGATGATTCATTTCATTAATCGTTCACAAAAATTTGATATTGACAATATTGTAATCAATATACTACATAACTGTATACGGGATATAAAGTACGTAATATCGATTGTAAATTTTGCTCACTGCTAATATTTATCATAGAGATAATCTCAGCGATAAAGATAAAAGAGGAAAGCGTAGATTGTATTGTTTTCAGTAAGGGGAAGCACAATTTATTTTACAGTCTAAACATTCAAAATTAATCAACGCTTTATATTAATATTTATATTACATTTATCGAAGCAAATGAATGGTGAATTTTATGGCGCACACATTGTTTGTAATTACAAATATTTATTCGAGAGAATGCATTTTCTATCGTTCGTGAATGCACATATTTTTATAATTATTTTTTATATTATAATTCCCTTAAATATACAAAAGTATTATTATAATAACAATATTAAGTGTATCATAATGAAATATAATACTATAAAATATATCCATTTTTATCACATTACGACAAAAGCTTTTCAATTGTATTTCAACTTTCGTGTCAAGTTACGAGAATTGCATTTTCAATAAATTTAAACAAAACATTGCAATAAAACGTAGACCTTCTCTCTCTCTCTCTCTCTCTCTCGTTTCTTTCTACTCTGTATTAGGGTATATCAAGTAAAATAAATATACCAATTTTCAATGAATTAATAAGATTAAGATTTGAGTAGTTAAATGACTCACTTAATTTCTCTTGCAAGTTCTGATAGTTCAGAAACTTTATTAGACATGCATTTCATTAAAGAAGTAATTTATATCTATCATATTCATTATCTCTTACCTCAAGATTTACTTTCCGTTTTTTATATTCATGTAAAAATCAATTTTTGACAGAGTACACGTGTCAATTGTATATATTTGAAAATACGAAAACATTAAGATAATGAATTATTAAGCATTTGAACTGGCAACAGCTATTCAGTTACGCAAATAGTTTACGTCTTTCCTTCAAAATACATTTTATGACATATGTACTATATATACATATATATAGGGAGAATTGACCATATGGGAGAGTTGAACTACTTCAAATTTCTCGTTCAAATTTCGTGCCAAGTGTACGGTTATCAAGCTGGCAACTATTTGTTATGTTTCGAGAAATGTTAAATCAAAATGGCATAATCCATACGTCGCGGTTTGACAACTGCTTGGTCTGAAATTTGAATGAGATATTTGAAGTGGTTCAACTCTCTCGCATATGGTCAAGTCTCCCAGCCTCTCCCATATATGTATTTTATACCTATATATAGATGTGTGTGTGTGTGTGTGTGTGTGTGTGTGTATCACATATATAATGGGTCACAAAAAGATTGCAACATCTTTTTTTTATGCGTTTCGGAACTCAGTCTTGCTCGTAGAGCGATTGAACGTACATGGTTAGATCCATAAGTAAGAGGACCAATTGCTCCGGTGAGCCGATTGCATTCCGAAATCCATTGAAAAAAAGTGTTGCAACCTTTCTGTGATCCACTGTACACTTAATAGAAAATGGAGTAGCAAAAAATTTCAATATCTATTTCCGGTTAAAATATCGATAAAATTTGGATAATTTTTCTTAACGGTCTCAGCTATCTCTCAGTAATAAATTGCGTTTATAATTTTCTCGTCGGCAGTATTTCATAATTAATAGCCTATTATTCGCAGCATTCTAATGCAAGTATTATGTAAAGTATAGAAATTACACGAGAAATATTAGCAAGATTCAATCTTCTACCTAATAATAGTAATTTTACTTGTTTCAACAATATTAATACATTCGTTAATACTTTAACAAGACGTCGCGTTTCATTTAAGGAGAACGAGAAGCTATCACATTGTTGTCATACAAAATGCATATTGTGAGTAGCATAATAATATTCTATTACCACCTCATCGAGTATAATTAAGGACGACTGGGGTAGTGTTGCCTGGCAGATAAATAGAGATGATAAGTAAGATTTATGCGGCCATCCAGTTGTTAAGTGGCGACACATCCATGGCGAGATAAATAATATATCGTAGCGAAAAGAAATATTGATGTATGAGCGATGGGGCTATTATCGGAGTGGGAAATATATTATACAGGGAATAGCATGCGCATGCAAGAATGTGAGAGAGAGAGAAAGAGAGAGAGTCCGCACTAGTTGGTCCTATGACATAAATGGCAATTCAGATAATAGATCATCATTTCCCGGCGTGGTTTCTTGAGCACGAGCATAACCCAAAGCGTCTCGAGAACTGTTTACCGATGGTCAGATTTACGGCCGAGTATGCATCTTTTTCCGGTGCTCCTCGTCGCGTCTTGCCTCGCATCACCGGGCCGTGCCGTGTCGACGCTGGTAAAATACATCCACGAGTAAAGCATCGAAGGGGCATTTCGTTCAATCGAACTCTCGTTTCGTAGCTTGGGGGTTGGCGATATTTACGATTACCGTTTTCCGAAGTAGGGAAAAAGGGCAAATCTTCCCACGCGCGATCCGGCCGCGGAAGCTGACGTGATCGCGATAAATAGCGCGGCGAGACAGCCGATGTCGACCGTTGTGGAATTATTAATTTATAAAGCAAGTCGCGTTACCAACCGATCGACCGACCGAGAGCGACAACACGAAACGGCGAATTCCGCTCCGATGTTCCTTCGTCGCAATACACGTTGTGGCGCCTGGTCGTGGCGCCGTGTGCGACAAACGAGCGTACGCCGCGTTGTTATAAAATTCGACAGAAATTGGCGAAACATGATTAATTAGCGGCTTCCGGTAATGAACGTAGCGTTACGTTGCTGCCGGAATATTGATGGTCCTGCGATTTAATACGACCCAATTAGGAGCAGCTATCGTATGACCCCAGCACACCGATCCTCCCTCTCGCCATCGGTCGTTTCTCGACCAGCACCCTTCCTGTTATACCGTTCCTCTTTATTTTTCGTGCAGTAGCATGTATAGCAGTTATGGCTCTATCTCTTTCTGTACATCTGTCTACCTTGTTCGCTTTTAATGTGCGCGGATCTTGCGCTATATCGTTATATTATTTTCTAACACCTTATATTTCTTGTTACATCGAATAATGGGTAATATGCTCGTTAATAACAGTATGCGGCGTGGTTGACACGTAATTGCCTCTGTTTCTCAGGTATTGATGGTTGCTGAACCTTCATCAGGGCTCCCTTCGTGTTTCAATAAGTAGCTGAGAACTTGGATGCAGTTTGATATAACGAGCCATCCCAACTCCTGTAATGGTTTAGAATTGAGAAGCGCTATCGATTCACCTTCACGGAAAGATTCTAAATTTGTTTAAGGCGGTCGCGTTGTGTCTATTGAATCTTATATGAGACCAAGTTTTCTGATACAATTTACTTCAGAGTCCACGTAAACTATCATAAACTTGATGACGCACGTTTATGATTCTAGGGTTAAATCTGATATTGTATTGTATAAACGCATCGTCTGGTTCTTTCGACGTTATGGAAACTCCAGGTAATATCAATTTAATTCATTATCGAAGTACCTGAAGTGTAAACGTTTCATTATTTATTAACTGCGATTTTTGCGTTAGCACAATTATTATTATTATCTCCTTTTAATTTATCTTCTTTTCTCATTCACAAATATTATTATTCGCGTTAATTAATTTTCATTTCTCATTATTATTATATATGCTCTCACTCGTCAGACGTTAATCATCGCAATTTTGATGTTATTTAAAATTGGTCATATTATCAAGCTGTACCGCATTTTTTAAATCTTTCGAAAAAGCAATGTGAAAGGATTTGCTCGTCCATTGGACTTACGGTAGCACTCCCTCAACGTCGAAGAAGTGAAAATGAAGGTGAACCCGTTCGTTAGATTGACCATTGAAGAAGTAGTAGCATTCCGTGGCACGAGGATACAGCCCAGGGTAATTTGGCGACGTGAATGTACCGTTCCGGGTCTCGTTGCTGTTGAAAACAAAGGCACACGGATACTGCCCCTCCTGCCGACCTGTCGTTATACCAAAGTCTGAAACAATAAAGTGTATTTGTAAGTGCACTGAAACTTGAACGGGTCGATATTCATGCGAGCAATAAAGTGACTCGAAAGCATCTCTTTCTCGTATTTTGACGATTTCTCTCTTTCAACTATTCTTTGGTTGTTCGAACGTTATAAGATTATCACCGTGTTTATCAGAGAGGAAAAGAAAGAGAGAGAAAAAAATTGATTCAATTTATGGTACTCCAACAGCGTGAAAAAGGGCACGAATTTTCTCGTTGTTTTTTCGTCATCACAATTTATTATCCGCGCACACTTCATTATTACAGAGGCGTTTATAATCCCTCGAGCAGCTTAATAAATATTGACATGCACTAATGGCTGGCTGCGCAACGTAATACAAATCATTGGCAGTACAATTGTGACATTGTAATACGCCCGAGAAATATGAATAATATCGAAGTAATTACTAATGTATTATTAATCGACAGCTTCAATGCAGACAGCGTCGAAATCGAATATTAAAGCGCGAGTTTCGGTCCGCTCGTGCGTGTAAAGCCTTCCCCGCAATACTCCTATAATTACCTCGATATAAAGCTTGTGACAATGCCTCTTATGCTAGATGGTTTGATGATAATAATATCTGAAGATACTTATTGGTTGTGCCATTAGGGTTACCAACGAGGATTTTAAACCGAATTATTAGGTTTTCAAGAATTTTGTCCGATGTTCGGTTGACAAATAGAACTGTCATGTGTACGGTTTGTAAGACCATGGATAAAAATAACGATTTTATTTCTAAAGCCTCTAGTACATAAAGTATCACTTACATTTAGATTTTTTTCACTTTTTGGAAGATAAGTTACTCCTTTAGTTATTATTTAACTAAACCCTTACCCTACAAAATACATTTTGATGCCTCATCCATACAGACGGGGGTCACTAGATTCGTCCGTTTTTTTCACCTATTCAGAATGAAAAAATCTCTAAAAATTCATCAACATACTTTCAACTTTTTAGAATAAATATTGGAACTTCATTTTGGAAAGTAATAAAATGTAATATAATTTATAATTACAGAAAGACTCAAAAAAACTTGCACGAACAGAAATCGCTCGGTCATTAGTAATCTATCTTGTAGGGTTACCACAAAAATTTAAGGACAAAAAAATAATTAAACATGCTTTCATCAAAAAACTGTACTATGTTACTGTAGCTATACTATGTCTCTACTCTCAGGCTTTGTTATAATAGTAACTGGGGAAACAATTATAATACATTTTAAAATACAAATCACTCCCACAGCCTTTTATTACAATTTCTTTTATTTACATTTTAAAATAATTTTTAAAAAGTAGTCGAATGATAAAAAAGTAATTTATTATTAAAATTATCTTACCAGGTGATAAACTTACAACTATAATGAGTAGTCTGCACTTGTCCAAGCAAATGAACAGATGAACGAGACTGTGCGTGTTGGCGCAATGGTCTTTATGGTCAGATTCGATCATGTATTCGCCGTGTGATGGAGTATCGATCGCGAGTAGGGAAATATCAGTTAGTAAGATTGTTATTCCTAATTAATTTTTTGTTCGACAGAATAAAGTCGATTTTTCTCAATTTTATGTTACATCAAGAAAAAAAATTGTCACACATTCCATCGCTCGCGCGAACGCACAACTTGATTTTTTTTAAATTCTGCCAAATTGTGTAAAGAACCGAGCTTATGCTTTCAATCGATCAGGTTTTACTGGACAAGAATTGGTAGACACCAGAGGATCAATCAATTGCCTTATTCGAGCGAAAAATAGCTATGTGGACTATCCAATATAACGTCGAACACGAATTGCCGCACACTGCTATACCGAATTGCATTTAATTCCACTTTTTTGCCACAAAAAATTATTTCACTTTACACCCTTTTTTTTTTTAATCGCGTCAATACTGTTCGATGTAGTTGAATTTGTTCAGGACTGATCCCTCGCTGTCCCTCGCGAGTCGCGACGAGCAAATCGAATGGCACCTCGGACCAGCGCGGCGGGACGTAAAATAATTGAATAACTCCTTGCAAACATTCCAAGCGTTCGTCGTTGGCGCGACTTGGAGGCACCTCTTTCTTCCCCGATCCTCTCGGCCGATTAAAATTGCTCGACAGAAGCGGCCGAAACCTCATTACGGACGACTCAATTAACTTCGATCGCGACGGACGCCCTAGAGCGACGGCTGCTACGGAGCGCGGATGGTCTAGAAAAGATCGGTGTTTCCTTCCGCCGCGCCGGGAAACTTCCTGAAAAGTGATTTCCATTCTTCGTAGCCTCTTCGTATTCTCTTGTTGAAAAAGTATCCGATGGTTTCAACGACATCGTCGACAGGTGTCTTATCGACTCGCACGCAGAATGTTTCCAGCAGTGGACGCGGAAGAGAGTAGAGGAAAGGAGAGTATATGTTAATTACGAGATTGGCCCCGTTGTCACACAGGCCCCGTTTCAAACGACTCGCGGTGCGGTTGCAGTTACTGTAGAACTCCTCTTGCGAGTTCCTAAAGTGCGGTACACCGCTCTACGAGAGTACGGGCCAAGTTTCCTCCAGGCTGTAAACATCGAGTAATAAGCTTTCGCGAGACTTTTGCGCTTAGTTAGCTACATTTGTTATGGTCACCATGTACGCAGTCTGTCTGCTTACTCGCTCTCTTGCTGCGGCTGGCTTGTTGGAGGAAGAAGAGGAAGAAGAAGAAGAAAAACAAGAAGAAGAAGAAGAAGAAGAAGAAGAGTACAACGAGTCGGCCTCCGGGGAAAAAAGTGTGAAAATGTTTGAAAAGCGTTGCGAGTATGCTACTGCAGCAGCTGAGGTTAGCTCAGGAATCATCTCGCTTAGTTGTTACCTTTCCCTTTTAACGCACTTTGTGATCGTATTGTCCCTTTCATCGTCGCCAGCGTTGCCAACTCATGCAAGATCTTGTGAGACTGTCTGCTTCATATTCATAAGAAGTAATATTAAAATTCACACAGTCTTAACCAGAAATTGCGAATAATACATAGAAATTGGGACTCAATTTGAATGAAGTCAGAATTTAGACGATTTTGGAAAATCAATCTATAAATATACCTTTTCTTTGAATATTTATGTCCTTACAAGTAAATCTCGTCACTAAAATGGTGTCCCGAAGAGATGGAAAAATTGTGTTCAAATACCGTGCAACAAAGTTACTACCTGTAATTTTTCAATACCACATAGAACAAATGTAATAATCTACAGCCTTTTCATATCGCGTTTCTCCACGCCTGCAATCGGAGCAACGTTTCATGTTTCAAACGTTTGATGTATATAAAAAAAACTCTGTAAATCCTTTTTATTTATGGGACGTAAAATGGTTGTAAAATTTCGTATTGTAAAAAATACTGTATGAAAAAGAAAACAAAAATTTATTTTTTTATTTACAGTAACGATATTAATTCGCGCAAATGTAAAGTTTTTATTTGCATCAAATGCAGGAGTGCGTAAAACTTGTCATTGATAGACCAAATGTTATTATTTAGTTTTATAATTACTTGGTCCTTGCATTTAGAATTAATACGTTCTATGAAAATCGAATACATATAATTCCAATCGAATTTCCAATTAAATCGAAACTGTATTCGATGATCCATGTGAGCCTATAATAAATATAGATAATTGTCTCTATTACTGTGTGTCTGTTCCTATTAGTATGCCTTTGTATCTACACGAGTCATAAAGAAAACTAACACAAATAAATAAGAAAAAGTTTTTTTTTATCAAGTTTAATTAAAAAATTATTAACGATGTATACAATATCAAAGATAATATTTTATTTTTTATCTATTTTAAAGTATAGAATAAACATTTTTTCGAAGGATATGATGAGGAATTTATACAAGTCCAGTAATACTGCAAGATTTTAAGCTTGTCCCTACTAGTGTGCTCTATATTGAAACTGAGAGCGTCGGGTTATGAATGTACATTAAAATTATAAGTATAATTAAAATAACGATTTATACAATATTAATTTAAATAATTAGCTTACATGTATTATTTGTTTTAGTAACTATGTGTTGAAATAAGTCATGATGATAGGCATACAAATTAAGGACAATTAAGGACAATAGAGTCATCAGCCCTAATTAGAGGGCGCATTAATAGGAACCATCTTTTTAATCTAAAAAAATGTTACTATCTGTAATTTTTCGTAATTAATGAATTTCTTGGTTACCTTTAATTTTTAAGTAACTATATATTGTGAAATCGAGCTTTAGTGTCTTTAAGCTATCTTGCTCACTACTGTATTAATTATTTAATATTGTAGCTTTAATTTGGTCTGCTTGAAACCAATATCGATATTTCAATTATTTCTTTTTCTTATAATACCTTTTTAATCTAAAAAAGTATTAATATTTTGTAATATTTTTGATAAAAATTAAAAAAAATTTATTTCAAAGATATTACAAAATATTAAAATTTTTTAGATTAAAAAAATATTATAAGAAAAAGAAATAATTGAAATATCAATATTGATTTCAAAAGCAGACAAAATTAAAGCTACAATATTTAATAATTAATTCAGTAGTGAATAAGTTAGCTTACAAAGACCCTAAAGTCCAGTTTCACAATATATGGTTACTTAAAGATTAAAGGTAACCAAGAAATTTACTACCATGAATGATTTTCATCGATGAATCTGTTGGTAATCTTTAATCTTTACGTAATCATATATTGTGTGAACGGTCCTAATATTACTGAGAGCCTACAGTGTTACCCTATATACAGTACGTAATATTTTTATTTTCGGAGAAGAAATTATTCGGCTGCAATTAATGTTCTGGCGCGTTCGTCGTGATTTTTATTGTTACGAGGTCGTAAAAAGACCTCGTAAAAAGCTCCTTGACGGCGGTGGCGCGCCATACCATGCGCACTATCGAGATATCGCAAGCGTTTAGCATCCGCGACATAATGCTACTGTACGAGCTAAACTCAGGAGCGCTCTGAATATGTGTGTCCGCATACATTGTCCCGAA